GATGTCACCACACACTGTGGTGGTCTGGCCTGTGGGACACACCGTCCCCTGGCCACTGCTGGTGTTCTGTTAGTGTCTCACAGTGAAATTGGCACGTGCCTGTACTGTTCCCTCTGGTGCATTGGCTGGCAGTGGGGCACCGGACTTCACCACCACGCAGCAGAGATGTGGCCGCAGGGACAGGCTGTGGGTGGACTGGTCAGAATAGTCGCCCTGCCCACCTGACTCCATCTCCGCCTTGATTCTTTGGAAACGTGTAGTTATGGAAGCCCAGAAGCCCCTTCTCACTCTCTCCTGTTCTCTCTCCAGGGGGAAGCAGGTGACCAGGGTCCCCCAGGACCACCTGCCTACTCGCCTCATCCTTCCCTGGCTAAAGGTTGGTAGGAAAACTTCCCCAGAATGATTTAGCATCACACGGATACTTCCTTCTGCCAAAGACACAGAGTCATGAAATTTTAAGACAGATTTTCCAAGCAAAAACCAAAGTGTTGAGAACGCAGCTTCAGACACAGCCTGGGGCGCCGCTTCCCGCAGGGCTCGGGAGTATCACAGGAACCAGCCTCTGTCTGCCTGACGGGCCTCGCTGCCTTCCAGGGGTGTACGTGACGCACAGCTTCTGGTTTTACTGTCTAGAATATCACTCAGGAAATCCGACAGCAGCTGCCCCCCAGGGCTGGTGAGCACCCTGGAGACGTATCTCTGTGGGCCTGGAGCCACCCATGAGCCTGCTGTGAGGACTGCGCTCAGCACCTGTGACCCACCTTCCCACCCACAGTATCTAAAGTGTCTATAAACACAAAGCCCGAGACGGCACACACGGCTGGCTAGACTTGATTGAGGATTCGTCATCTTTTTTCTTTTTTTAGTTATAGGTAAACACAATATCTTTATTTTTTTATGTGGTACTGAGGATCAAACCCAGTGCCTCGCACATACCAGGCGAGCGCTCTACCTCTGACCACAACCCCAGCCCAGGATCTGTGATCTTGATAAAATGAAAACATTGCTTTTGAGGCCTTGGGCACTTGATTTTTAAATCACTGTTAACATGATCTTTTGCATTATCAAAAATATGGCTGACTGAGAGCTCAGGACCCATTCAGTTCCCCCACCCTACTCTGTGTGCCTGGCGGTCAGGCGGACAGATGGATGGTTGGAAATTCAGTTTTGCTCACATGCAGATGTAGAAATGCCTCCACTGCCCTCTTCTCCACGGGAAGATGCTCCTGGCTTTTGGTAGCTGGAATGTGACTGAGCTGCATTCCAGAGTGGCAGAGCAGAAGGTTACCTCTGGAGAGAGTCCTCCGGGGTGGGGTGGTGTCGTTACAAGGCCGCCTTGCATGGGCTTGTGGAAATGCAGAAAGGAGAGGGGTTTGTGCTGAAGGAAAGGATTCCAAGTAGCTAAAACAGGCCGTCTTCTCAGACGCTCTGCTACTGTGACAATGGGGACTCTTTGGAGTGTGCGCGGTGTGCCTAGCAACTCTTCTAGGTGGTTCTGATTGCACCTGTCAATCTGTTCACCCCTCCCAATGGCCCTGTGAGCTGGGGTGACTCTCAGCTCCATCTTTCTGAGGGAAAAATTGAAGCTCGGGGAAGCCACGTGACTCTCCTGAGTGCCATATGTAACAAGCAGAGGGACAGGCAAGGAATTCAATCACTCCCACCCACAGCTCAAGAGGGCCTCCAATCCTCATCCCACTTTAAGAAAAAATGTTTTAAGGTTAAAAAAAATGGAAGATCATATGCAGAGTGATGGCTTTTCCCCAAATTACTAATAGTGTGTGACAAAATGTGGTTTTCTCCTCTGTTCTCTCCTAATTATAAAAACACGTAGGTGGTAAAAGGTTGCTGAGGGCCAGCTAGAGAACACAGGGATGCTGCTCAGCAATTGTTCAGTAGGGATGGAAGTCCACCTGTCATCCACCTGCCAGCCCCGAAGGAAGCCTTGAGGGTGCAGAGGCTGGGAGAGGAGCCAGCCCCTGGGCCTCCCCTCTGGAGCCTGGTGCGCTGTGGGGATCGCTGCCCGTCACTTCTGCCTTCCATGGAGCTTTGGGCTCAGCTCTTTCCCCTAACTTCCCACTAGCCTGTCCCCAACATCCCTCAGCCCAGCCCTGTCTGGCCGAGTGCAGTGGAGCTGGGCGCACAGTGTGGCTGTTGTCCTTTCTGGGCGCCCTTCTCTCACCTGTAGAAGTGGGCTGCAGCAGGTCTCCGCAGGGGCCATGGGGCCATGGAGTCATGGGCTCTGGTGGACGCCACTCGGGCTCCCACACTCAGGCTGCGCTCCAAGTGACCTCCGCCTCTGTCCTTTTATTCCCTGTGATCCCTCAGTATCAGAGTCTTCCTTCAAAAGAACCTTCCCCACCTTTGAAAACTCCAAGCGCCCTTTCAGCATTTGGCACCCCTGCGCTGTTCATAATGACAGGAATTCCCCCCATAGATCCCCCCATTGGATCGTGAATGAGACCCTCAAACCCAGAAGCCCCTAGTTCCCAAACATGTGAACCTCCTCTGTGTTCAGAATAGTCAGCAGATATGTTCCAGTGAGAAGGTGCTGCCTGCTGCAGTCTGCACACAACAGGCTCACCCTACCCGGGGACTTGTCCGTGTTCTAGGTGCCAGAGGTGACCCAGGATTCCCAGGACCTCATGGGGAGCCAGGAAGCCGTGGTGAGCCAGGAGACCCCGGGCCCACAGGACCCCCTGGCCTGTCCTTTGGAGATGAAGGTAAGGGGCCTTGTGGCATCAGACCTCAGATTCAAGTGCCTTAGCCCCTGTGAGCAGGGACACCTGAGACGAGTGGGTGCTCCTCAGGCACGAGCCACGCCAGCCTGTTGTGATGTCTGTGTGGAACCTCACGCAGGTGACAGTAACCCCCAGCTGCGTTAGACTGTGCCACCAACTGGGAACTAGCCTGGTCCCATCAGCTGGTTGGAAGGCGCACAGGAGTTGTGCAGAACTGTGGCACCGAAAGTTGGTACAATCAAAGGCCGTTGTTGGAGGGAGAAGAGGGGACGTTTTTAAAGACATTTTAAAGGTGGCATCCACCTTTACTTCATTGACTAGACTGTGAACCCCGCTGCACCTGCTGGTGGTCTGTGGACATAAATATCAGCGCAGCCCCTAAACACCAGGAACCTCGTGCCGCCCTATTCTGTGACATTGATTGATGCTGTGGGTTTCAGATGAGAAGAGAGGCCTCCCAGGGGAGATGGGACCCAAAGGCTTCCAAGGAGAACCTGGCATCCCTGCATTCTACCCTGGCCCACCCGGAGCTGACGGAAAGCCCGGTCTCCCAGGAGCCCCCGGGCCTGCCGGACCACCTGGACCCGATGGTGAGTGGAGGGACGCCAAAGGCAGGTGTGTGCCAGTGCTGGATCCTCTGGGTCCAGCCAACCCAGCAGGGCTTTATTTGGAATTTTTTGCTAAATAATCCTGAACTCATTCAGCTGGGACGGGAGTGGACACAGGTCAGCCTGTCAAGTGGCTACAGTCACGTGGCTCTTATGTAGTGAACTTTGGTTACTACTACCTCAGCCAAACAGGTGAGATGTCAGTGTAAATGTGAGCTGAAGCCCTGTCCCGGGTCTGTGTGCCAACTGCACACACCTTCTTCCAGGGCAGAGGCCCACTCCTTGACCTGCAGCCCCTCTCCTCTGTTCTCAGCTCATACAAGACAAGCTTGAGTCGGTGGCCCAACGGCTGCCCCACGACACCTCCAGGGTTAGCCCGAGAGGCATTTCCAGCCTCAGTGCTGCTGCGTTCTCATGTGTTGGGAATGCTGTGCCCCAGGAGGCCTAGAATATGCACAGCGGGCAGCCTTGGGCCTGCTGTCCAAAAAGGGCATGCTTTCAGCTTCAGTATCCAGTACGCTTTCAACACTCTGAAATTCCTAATGGGAACACTGTGTCCCCCAGGAGATTGGACAACGAGGCACTGGAGGAACATAGGAGGTCACACTCTATCTGTATGGCACTGGCCAAAGTGTAACAGCCTCTCCTTTTCAAAATAGTTCACTCTAAATTCTCTGTTGTCACCTCCAGTAATCTCTCACTAGCTTCTATCTTCAGAGAGAATGAACATCATATTTGCTAATGGATAGAGTTGGATTTCCATTAAATTCAAATGTAAACATTGAGGTTTTAATTGCTTTAGAAGATACTTTGAAATCTCCAGAAGGAAACTTATTGGAGGTTTTAGAACTTATTTAGAAACTTATTGGAGGTTTTAGAAGTTTCTTCTATTAAGAGTCACAAGTGACTTCTCCATACCTATTTCATATTTTATGGTAAATTTTTAATTTCATAAGTTCTACTTTCCACAGATTTCCACATTTTTCAAAAAGTTTTAAGCACAGATATTTCCCTGGATCATGGATTTGCCAAAGAGTTTGAACAATGTTATCTTTAATATTTTCTATTTTGTGATATTTATTAATGTGGATCTGCAATAATAGCCAAATTATCTTTCCAAGTAAATAGTATCTGTTGAGTTTCCCTTATTTGGGTCAGAATATATGTTAAAATGAAAGCATAAAAACAAGTCGCTGTGATTGAAGACCGGGATAGCCATTGATTGCTGTGACCAAATTCCATTTTGATAGCACAAACCATGCTATCCAATCTTTCTTAGTAAATCTGCAATTTACTGATTTACCAGTGTAAGTCGATCATAGATCATCAACTAAATTCTGATCTATATTGTAGGCTGATAAGGGAGTGTGTAAAATAGATGGAATGATATCACATAAAGTTTATCAACTAAAGAATTTTAAAGCATACAATTTAAATTCTTACCCCCATGATATATATATATTGTTTCCACATCTCACCCCAAATACTTATTTTTTAGCAACCCCTTATATAAAAAGTAGCCAGTCACAATGACCATGACCTTTTACAAGTGTCGGTGGCCAGTGTGGTGGCACACACTTTAGTCCCAGCTATCCTGGAGGCTGAAGCAGAATTGTGAGTTCAGGGCCAGCCTGTCAGCATGAGACCCCACCTCAAAAGAAAAAAAGAGAGAAGTGTGTGTGTACACTTGAGTTGAGTATCAGTGATCTTTTTCCCCGGAGTTCTGTTTTTTTCCCCCAGAATGAAATTGTCGGACTCCTGTTATTAACTGCACTTCATCCTATTTTGTGTGTGGCTAGGAATGAAAACTAGAATTTCCAGTCTTGTGCAGTTCCAGTGAAATCAAGCCTTGAAGTCGGTTCCCTTCTGGGTGAAACATGTTGCTTGCTCTCACTTCCAAGTCAGTTAGAGGAGTCGAGTGGCCGTGTTCCCTGCTGCTCTGGAGTAAGCCGGATGCCACTGTTCTGCTGAGAGCATCGAGGCTCAAAGCCTAGTTAGGAAGGAGATGGGACTAGGAGGACGACGGGGAGGAGGGAGGAGGCCTCTCAGGCACCACTCGGCCTATGTGACTGTGTTTGCAAAGTGTCTGATCCTCCTCCTGGGGATCCCCCTCCTGGGGACCCACTCATCTTTGTCCTTACTGGTGTGCCTCCAGTTGTAAATGCTGGTGGCCCTGGAGTCGGGTGGCTGAAGTACTATCCCCGTGGTACACTCCTCATAACCCTGGGGAGGGTGGGTCACAGCAGGTGGAGCCCATGGAGCCCATCCGGCCTGTTTGGAGGCAGAGCGTGGTGCCTCCTCACCCCCTCCGTGACTGGCCCAGGGCCCCCCCAGCACTCTCTCTGGGGCTCCTGGTTCCCTCTTCCTTCCCCACCCCCCTCTGTAGCATGGAGCTCCCGAGGTGGGTTCTCCCCTTCTCTGCCCTCCACCCAGGCACACACAGCCAGGCCCCCCTCTTGCCCCCGTCTGCTTCTGTGCTTTGAGCCACAGATGTGCAGACCCCGCACTCTATGCAGAGCGGACACATGCACTTCCCAAGCACCCCAGACAGCTCTCCACCTCGCCACTCCCTGGTGCCCTGCTCCTTCCATGACCCCTGGAGCTCCAGCCAGAACCAGCTGCTCTGGGCACCTGGCTCCCCACACCAAATTCACAATGGGTCATGTGACCTGCTCCTTCAGGTCTTTAATGGCTTCCTTTTGGCCTGGGGATAAAAACCAAATCCTCCTGGACCATTTCCCCTGCACCCTGCATGCACCCTCCAGCCATGGCTCTCTCCATCTCCAGCCCTTTAGATGCACCCATCCTCTAGGACACATCCCCTGTGCCCTGCCTGTCCTGTCCCCAACACCCTTTGGATTTTAATTGGTGTCACCTCCTCGGAAAGGACTTTCCTGAGGCCCCTGATTCTCTGCTAGTCGCTCACAGTGCTCGTCCTACCTGGAAGTCTATGTTGGCTGGTTCACTACAGCACGTACTGCGTGTCAGCTGCCGTTACATCCGGGCTTTGTCCCCATGTGCCGTAGCTCCTGGACACGCTGGCTTGACTCCAGCACTGGGCTGTGTTCAAAGAATGAATGACATTGTGTCAAGGTGTAGTAAGACCAGATTACATCAGCCAGTACCCATTCATCTTTCCCGGAACATCTGAACTCACCAAGAAGCTCTCTGACCCTGGAATCCTGGTGCCATTTTTCCAACCACATGGCAAAACTCTTTAAAATTGGTGTTTTCCTCTCCTTCCTGCTTGCTGAATGGCCTCCTGCTCGTGGGTGCACAGGTGTGTGTGGCAACACACCCTCTAGTGTCTTGGGGACTTGTTCACTCCTTGGAACCTGGACAAATACTTAGTCTTAGCAAGGGAGCAAAACCCAGCAGGGTCCACCAGCCAGTCTCCTGGAGGTGTACCGACCTGTGTCACCACAAGGTGGCACTCTTCTGTAAGCATAGCTATCTTGGGATCCAGAGTAGATGGACTCACACCTCCACTGCTAGCCCTGCTTGGGTGTTGGGGCGCTGCGGCCACAGTGATTTAGAGGAACCCTGACCCTGATTGATGGTGTTATGGGCTGGTCAGAGTCAGTCAGTGAGAATGACCACACCTAGTCCCAACTGGTCATGAGGGACCCACATTATGACACTAACTCCGCGGGGAGGCGTGTGAGTAAACGGGCACAGAGGAATGATGGTGGGGTAGCACTTGTGCACCCACCCAGGAGAAGGGCGAGGGGAACCCAGATCATCCTGTCTGCGGGGTGCTTAGAGGGGCCTTCACATGGACTAGAAGGGGTGGAAATCTTGGAACCCAAGTGACATGGCTGTAAAACCAAACACTTTCTTGGACTCAGTATCTCTCAGTATTTTTGTGCCTGACTCTGCGTGTCTTCTCCTTAGGTTACCTGTTTGGCCTTAAAGGAGCAGAAGGACGTGTGGGCTACCCCGGACCTTCCGGTTTCCCAGGAGCTCGAGGGCAGAAAGGGTGGAAAGGTGAGAAATGCCAGGAAGGGCAGGGGAGGGACCAAGGCGACCACCCAGCCTTCTGGGCCCACCCCACTCTGCAGAGGGCTATTCCCTCCCCCTGGGTTTAGGACACAGGATGAGTATCCCCAATCCAAAATCCAGAGTGGCCCCAAATCCCAAACCTTGGGAGTGTGGACATAACAACACATGTAGAAAATCCCACTCTGGAGCTGGGGTTCCAACTCAGTGGTGAAGCACTTACCTAGCATGTGGGGGGCACTGGGTTCGATTCTCAGCCCTGCGCATAGGTAAATTTTTAAAAAGAAAAGAAAACTCACTTCGCCTCACGTGACGGTCACAGTCAGTCCAGGTATCTAAAAACGGATAGCGCTGACCTCAGTCTGTGGGTGTGAGGTTTACCTGAAGCACCTTTAGGCAGGTACTTCATACTGTATATGCAAATGTTTCAAAACCTGCAATGATTCTGATTACAGACATTTTAGATAAGGGATACTCGGCCTGTAAAGATCTGCACCTCTCCCAAGCCGCCTCTCCCCACTCTGGGCGTTAACAGCAGGGGGAGGAACTCTGCTGCTTCCCAGGCAGGAGCACCAGTCTGGCCCTCCTACCTGTCCTCCCTCTGCCTGGCCCTCAGTGAAGTCCCAGCACTCAGGAAAAGTCGAGCAGCTGTTCCCTGCTGAATTCAGATGCCTGGTCACAGGTTCAGTGCCAAGGCAACAGCAGTGCCGGGCCGAGCCAGTCCTGGCAGAGCCCTCCCCACCAGGTGTCCTGTTCCACCCACTGAGACTCAGCGTGTGGGGACCTGCCTGGGCCTCGCTCCCACCCTGGGGAGGCCTTTGCCCCTTTACCTTCCCTGATGCACCTTGGGGACTCTGCCCTGTTCCAGTGAAGGACAGACCTGGGGACAGCTCCACTGTGAGGTTGTCTGGGACCATGGAGGTGCCTGTTTAGCTCCTGTCCCTGGGTATGGGCAGCATGTCCTGGCCCTTATGTCTACCCTGACCTTCAGATGCGCATGGGACAGTGGGAGCCTGAGGGCAGACTGCAGGAGTCAGGTGGCCTCAATCAGGAGGGCACTCCCACTACCGATGCTACAGCCTGCCCCTCTGTACATCATCTATGCCCAGGGAGCCAACCCCATGGCTGGCACAGTGCTCACTGCCACCTGGCCTCTGCGTCTCATCAGGACAAGGCAGAAGAAGGGTCGGGTATTTCTTCTCTGCTCACCCATGACCTTGGCCTCCAGGAGAGGCTGGCCTCCACCTGGACCTCTGGAGCCACTGTGATGGCCATCTCATGGCTGTGGGCTCTGGATTCCAGATTCCTCGACATCCTTGTTAGTCCCCTCAGCTCTGTCTGTTCCTCTGTAAAGGGCCCTGGTTTTTAAGTATTTCCAGTAAACAACAAAGCAGAATTCAGAACCTGAAGACTGAACCCTTGAGTGACTTAAAATTGGCCCCACACTTGTTATCCAAGAAGTGGGTCTGATAATCACCGCCAGGACAGATAATGTTTGCAAAGCACTGGGCAGTGTCCAGCCTGTGTGGCCTCCTCTTGGCCAGCCCTCCCCACCCACCTTTTTCTCTCTGCACTTTCAAGCTGAATATTTAACACACGTGCCCTCCCTCCACCACTGCAGGTGACGCTGGGGACTGTAAATGTGCAGAAAGTGACCAGTTCATCAGGGGTCTTCCAGGACTGCCAGGACCCAAAGGTTTCTCGGGTATCAATGGGGAACCAGGGAAGAAAGGGGACCAAGGAGACCCCGGACAGCACGGCATCCCTGGGTTCCCAGGGTTCAAGGTGAGGAAACTGGGCATCCTGGTGACCAGCCTGGTGACCAGGAGCTAAGAGAACCTGAGGCATGCCCAGTTCATCTAACACACTGTAGACCAACACTCGGTCCCCAGCGCACGGACACACCTTCCAAAAAGCCACACGTCCAAGGTGAACCTCAAAAGCTTTTACCACTGGGAGTGTGACCTGGTACAGCCACTGTGGAAGAAGGTCTCACACCTCAAAAAGTTAGACAGGGGTCACCACCAAGGCCAGAAATTCACTCCCAGGAGAAACCCAAAAGAATCCAACACCCACGTCCATGAAAATATGTGTGCACCAATGTGCACGGGGACATTACTCATACGAGTCAAAACATAGAGACAACAACCTGTCCATCCTCCGGTGAACAGGTGAACCCAACTTGGGCTCTCCATACAAAGGAATCGGATCCGCTATAAATCAGGACCACCACTGATTCGTGCTGCAGTGTGGACAGGCCTGGGAAAGGCCGTGCTGAGCACAAAGAGCGTGTTCCTGTTGTGCCCGTTGTCTTGCGTTTGGTCATATGCTCAGGTTCAGCAGCCCCCTGCAGTGGGATGGCTGAGATGAGTTCTTGTAATTATGGTTTGTTTTTGACACTTGTACTGACAGAGTCTGGCAGAGGCCTTGAGGCTTAGGAGTCGGCCAGTAAATACATTCTTCCTCCTGTCCATTGACACAACGTATTTACTGAGCAAGTCTGTGTGGGACACTGTCCTGGATGCTGGAAGAATGTTGCCCTCTTCTGCAGAGAGCCAAGTCATCAATAAATCTAGTATCTGTGGACTTTGCCAGGAGAAAGGAGCCCACAGTCTCTTGTAACTGACTATTTCTTTAAACCAACACTCATTCTGCTCTAGCAGCTGTGTGGCCACTCTCCACTCAGTTCAGAGGTCCTAAATTCCTGGAAATAGCATCAACTAAGATATGCCCTAAAACTAACATAACACACATTAAAATACAATCCCCACTCACTTCTGCCCATTGAAAAAGCCTCCTGAGATCTTACGACCTGAACTCGAGTGTCCCTGTAACCAACTTCTCTCTAAGCCCTATTTTTCCCTCAACCTAAACTTCATTTTGCAAAAGAAACCATGAATTAAATACATTGATTGCTCACAATGGTAAATGATCCGAGTTTCTAAGCATTGTACTTAGAAGTTCATAACCTGCCGGGATCCAAACCTGTAGGTAAGAGTTCGGCAGCCTCCTGTTTTAGGTCAATGCTTCTCAAAGGCACTGGGTCCAGGAATCCTATTTAAGAAGCAGATCACCCTCTGGCTGCCTCAGGGAGGTGGGGCTAAGCATCAGTATCTCTCACCAGAGATGCTGAGCACACTGGTCTGGGGATGGCACCCTGAGTAGCGAGTCTAGGTTTCCACCGTCCAACTACCTGGGGCACTTCCATTACATTTTAATTAAAATTTTTAAAAATATCTAAATTCAATTCCTCAGTCCTACTGTCCATTTTTAGTGACAGGGCTTGATGGGCACTGTGGCAGGTGGTCACTTGCCAGATAGCCCAACAGAGCATTTCTGTCACTTCAGGGCTTCTCTGAGCAGCACTGGGCTTGGGGACAGGCGACTGCCCGTGGGTTGTGTGGGCTACTCAGCATTCTCTCCGTAGGTGTCCCAAGCAGCCTAAAGGGAGAAACGCTTGTCCCTTTGTCTCCACAGGGAGTCTCTGGCGTCGCTGGTGTTCCTGGGCCCAAGGGAATTAAAGGGGATTCCAGAACAATAACCACTAAAGGTCAGTTCCTGTGGCCGGGCAGCTTGGGCCACTTGGCTCTCCAGTGGATGCATCAGGAGATTCACTTGTGAATTCCTTCCCAGGTGAGAGAGGACAACCCGGTGTCCCAGGTGTGCATGGAATGAAAGGCGACGACGGTGTCCCTGGGCGCGACGGACTCGATGGATTCCCGGGCCTCCCAGGCCCTCCTGTGAGTAGCCGAAGTGGCAGGGCAGGCTGGCGGCTCGTCCTGATGCTTGTGTCCTCCAGACAGCTGAGAAGCAAATGGTTGTTGGTGTTGGCACTGACCTGACCCAGTGCGAAGGCTGGCACCATCTGTTTTAATGAACACAAATCGTTTCTGTTAGGAAACAGCAGGATAAGTTAGCAGCCAGATCCAGAGTGAACATTTAAAGTCACAGAGTAAATAAATATTCCTCGAGGCATAATATAGAAGGAGAAAAGAAATAGAATTTCCTAGAGTGAGCGGTAGAGTCCTATTTTTGGAGAATAAATAGTGAAATAGACAATTGGGGGTTTGCGACAAACACTGAAAGAGGAGATGTTTGATCCCTAGAGACCCTGTCTCCTTTCCTGGGCAGTCAGGGAGGTGGGGCATGGCCGTCACCCCTGCCTGCCCCCCGTAACAGACCTGGTTCTCTCCTCCTGTGATTCTGCACTGTCATTTCCTGCCTCTTGTTCTTTCCTAGATTCCGTTTTCCCTGTGGCCAGCAAGCCTCCTTAAGCTCTTGGTTTTGGTGTCCTGGGGCTGCCTAACAAAGCTCCTCTGACGGGGCGGCTCATTCAGCAGAGGTGACTCCCCAGCTCGGGCTGGTGGCTGGGAGCCAGGTGTGCAGGCTCCTTCTGAGGCTAG